CCCCAAAACCCCAAAACCCCAAAACCCCAAAACCCCTTAGATTTTTATTAAAATTGAATAATGGAAACTCAGGAATATGATGTTATCGTTGTCGGGCTAGGATGCGTAGGCCTCTCTGCTGCCTACTACTGCTCAAATCAGGGCTTGAAAGTCCTAGGAGTTGAGAAAAATGCATCTTCTGGCGCGGTATATCACTATTGTCACCTTTAGGCAGGAACTTCTTCCCAAGGATACACTAGAACTTATAGGTTCAATGACGAAAATCCTATTAAAAATGAAATGATGGGAATTAGTATGAAGATCTGGAACGAAGCTAGTGGTAACTTCTAAATTTCTGATCTCTTAGATAAGCTAAAAGCTCTTAAAAATCAGGGAAGGACAGAGGAGCATCGTAACATTGAGCCTGAATTACTCTTCCCTCTGGACTACCTTACATATGGAGATAAGAACTCATACTTTATTTCCTGAATGGTGAAGAACTATCCAGAAAAGAAATGGATGAACTCTAAGGAAATAGTCCAAAAATACCCAGCTTTTGAGAACCTTCCAGAGGATTATGTCGGCAATGTCTCTTATGACGCAGGAAATGTCAAAGTCAAGAATGCTCTCAACGGCTTCAGGATTCTTTCAGAGACAAATGGAGCAGATTTAAGGTACAATTCAGGTATTTTTCACCTAACCTAGTAGAGGTTACTTCGTTTGATAAATCATCAATCACCTTGACAGATGGGACTACTTTCACGGGGAGAAATGTTGTCATATGCTGTGGGCCTTTTACTATTGATAAGTTTGATAAAAATTACACTAACGTAAAAGTAATCCCCACTGAGACCATCAATTTTGGTGGTGACTTATGTAAATCCTTCACTAATAATTTAGCTGATCTTCCTGGAATCTTCTACGAATCCTCAGAGAAATACAGCATCTACAGCCTGAGGGATAAGCATGACTTCTCATGCCAAAAGTTCGGAATTCACGGTGAGAAAGACACTGATTTAACAATGGAGTGGGCTAAGGAGAGAATTCCTAGCAAAGTCAAGGAAATTATTGGTATTGATGCTTGTTTTTACACAGTCACTGAAGGTCACGAGTTTATCTACAAGACCAACCCTGACGGAGTTCATTATGGCTATGGGTTAAATGGAGAGGGATTCAAGTACATGCCTGCCCATGGAAAGATTATCTATGATGGCTTGATAACAGGTGATGACACTACTTATCTGAAACAACTCAAGGCTAAGATTTAAGATATCTATTGTTTCAATGATTTGTTGATAAAATGGGGTTTTGGGGTTTTGGGGTTTTGGGG